TAATATTTTTTTAAGTCATTGACTATAATACTTTCTTCTTCTTTTTTTGAGGAAGTGCACAAGTTGAATTATGTTGAAAATTTATAAAATTTTAAACTGCCAAACCGATTCGCATCCATCCGCCAAACCCCCGAACCGCTTAATCCACATCCGCCGGATTGGCGGACGGATGCGGATTGATTTTCTCCAATCCACCAATCTAGCGAACGGATGACGGATTTGAGGTTTCGTGGCCGCAACCGACCCGCGCCCACCCCTATTTTGTACCATTGCCGCGGGGCTTGGTTGAGGCCATACAAACTTTTCTTTAATTTGCAAACAAATTTATCTTTTCCTTTCTCCACAAAACCCTTTGGTTACTCCATATAAATTTCTTCTTCAAGATCACCATTAAGAAATGCGATCTTTACATTAAGTTGCTCAACTTCAAGGTTCATACTTGCAGCTATGCTAAGTACAACCCGAATAGAAGATATCTTCACAATTGGCGAGAAAATCTCATCAAAGTCAATGTCTTTCTTTTACCCAAAGCCTTTTACAACAAGACGTGCTTTGTACCTCAAATTCTTGCTATCATTTTTTAATTTGAAAACCCATTTATTTTTCAGAATTTTCCACCCCTTATGCAACTTCACTAAATCATAAGTGTGATTTTCAAGTAAGAAATTCATCTCCGTTTCCATGACCTTTTTTCAATCATATTTATTTGCATGCTTAATTGTTTATTGGTAGCTCTCAGGCTTTCTTTAATTGGAAATTAACACAAATTCATTGGGAGGATACTTTCTTGAAGGTTGTCAATCCCTTATAAATTTCCTCAACTCAAGTTGTGGTGGCAGTTCTTAAGTTGAATACTCTTCCTCAATTTTTGGCTCAAATTAGGATTAGTATCATCATCTGCATCTTTAGTAGGTAGTTGCACATCTCCCCTATTTTCATCATCCACCGAAGATGAAGGAGATGGATCCACATCAATGAGATCACTACTTTTTGGCTCCAGTTGATCAACTTTACCAAAGTCTTCAATTGTTTGGTCTTCAAGAAACACAACATCACTGCTTCGAATGACTTTCTTGTCGACCGGATCTCGCAATCTATAACTAAATTCATCACGCTCATAGACAAGAAAAATACATTGTTTTGACTTGCTATCAAGCTTGGACCTCTCATCTTTTGAAATGTGAACAAAGGCTCGGCAACCAAACACTTTCAAATGCTTATAAGACACATCTTTGTCGGTCCAAACTCTTTCTGGAATATCACCATTCAAAGGATAGGAAGGAGACAAATTAATCATGTCAACCGTTGTCCTTATTGCCTCACCCTAAAAGGATCTTGGCAATTTAGCATGTGAAAGCAGACACCTTGTTCTTTTCACAATGGTGCAGTTCATCCTCTCGGCAACGCCATTTTGTTGAGGAGTCTTCTTAACTGTCTTTTAGTGCCGAATACCTTGGCTGCGACAATACTTATCAAATGGCCCAATGTATTCACCAACATTGTCTGTTCGGATGCACTTCAATTTCTGCCTTGTTTCTCTTTCAACCATGGCCTGAAAATGCTTAAATACGTCTAGAACTTGATTTTTAGTTTTTAGTATAAAAACCGAAACTTTCCTTAAATAATCATCAATGAAAGTAACAAAATAAAGTGTACTTCTATGTGTTCTAACTTTCAAAGGACCACAAACATCCGAATGAATCAATTTCAAAACATTTTCTTTTCTAGAAGCAACATTTTTATGAAAAGAAACTCTATGTTGTTTACCCGCTAAATAATGAACACAAGTTTTAAGATGTGTACCTTTCAACCCGGGTATAAGCTCTTTCTTGAACAAAACATGTAGTCCCTTTTCACTCATATGGCCAAGCCGTTTGTGCCACAATTCAATAGAAGTATCATCTTCAAGTGCATTGACAACATCTTTACAAAATTTTCCTTGCATCGAATAAAGTGTATGAGTCTTCTTGCACTTAGCCACCACCAAAGAACCCTTTGTGAGCTTCCATATTCCATCACCAAATTTGTTGTTGAAGCCTTCATCATCTAGCTTCCTAGTAGAGATCAAATTGAGGCGAATGTCGGGAACATGCCTCACATCTTCAAGCAACAACTTGCAGCCCAAATTTGTTTCCAAGCAAATATCACCCATGCCAATAATCTTTGACAAACCTTCATTACCCATTCAAACAGAACCATAATCTCCTTTGGTGTAGATAGTAAAGAAATCAACTCGAAAATTCACATGAAAAGAAGCACCGGAATCAATCACCCAATTGCTCTCCTAGCCCATTGAACAAAACATGTAGTCCCTTTTCACTCATATGGCCAAGCCGTTTGTGCCACAATTCAATAGAAGTATCATTTTCAAGTGCATTGACAACACCTTTACAAAATTTTCTTTGCATCGAATAAAGTGTATGAGTCTTCTTGCACTTAGCCACCACCAAAGAACCCTTTGTGAGCTTCCATATTCCATCACCAAATTTATTGTTGAAGTCTTTATCATCTAGCTTTCCGGTAGAGATCAAATTGAGGTGAATGTCAGGAACATGCTTCACATCTTTAAGCAACAACTTGCAGTCCAGATTTGTTTCCAAGCAAACACCACCCATGCCAACAATTTTGGACAAACCTTCATTATCCATTCGAACACAACCATAATCACCTTTGGTGTAGGTAGTGAAAAAATCAATTCGAGAATTCACATGAAAAGAAGCACTAGAATCAATCACCAAATTGCTCTTTTGGCCCACAAAATTGATACAATTATTTTCACAAACGACCATGAAATCATCGGTAGTAACTATCGTTGTGTCTTCTAACTTCTTATCCATACTTTTGTCATGCATTTTCTCCTTATTCTTGAGCTTTTGACATTCCGCCTTCATATTCCCTTTCTCATGGCAGTAATAACACTCAATGTCTTTCTTTGAAAAAGAACCATTTCTTGATTTGTCATGATTTTGATCACGACCATGAGAAGTCTTACTCCTCCTCCTTGTTTTGCTTTGTCCTCTCACAACAAATGCCTTTGAATGAGAAAAACTCGCTGATTTTCTTTTAATTTCTTTATTCAACAAGATACTAGTGACTTGGTTCATTATGACAACTCCATCGGGTGTCAAATTACTAACTATCACAACCAAAGTCTCCCAACTTTCGGGCAAAGAACTCCCAACTTTCGGGCAAAGAACTAAGTAGCATCAAAACCTACAACTCATCATCAAAAATAATTTTCATAGAAGCAAGTTGGTTAACAATACTTTTTATTTCATTCAAATGTTCCGGAAATGGGACTGCCATCTTTTTATTTTAAATTAACCAATTTACGCAACAGAAAAATTTTATTTGTGGTTGATTTTCCATCATAAAGGCCTTTTAATTTTTCATAAATCATGTGCCGAAATTTCAGTAGCAACATGATGAACACACTGTCATCAATCCATTGACGAATAACACCAACGACTTTTTGATTAAGTTTCTTCAATTCATCGTCTTTCATATCATCAGGTTTGTCACTATTACCCTCAATAGGCCCATATAAATCTTTTACAAAATAATAGGTTCTCTATTTAAGTTTTTCAGATTATCAAATTATTTTCATTAAAGCTAAACATACGACCCACATTCCCTTCCAGTGATTTACACAAATAAATAAATCCAAATAAACCGTAAGTTTTGATACTAGTTGTTAAGTAAAATATAAGATTCCCCATAAGTAAATCAATTAATGAGAATAAAAATTAATGCGGAAAAATTAAATCAAACGCAACACAAGAATTTTACGTGATTCTCTCAATCTGAAGTACGTCCATGGAATCGAAATCCGATTTCACTATCAACCAAAAGTTTCCAAACAATTACAAATGAGACACAAATGACCTCACAAATCATTATTAAGTAAATTTTAAATAATCACAAATAAATAAAAGAAACAACCTTACCAGATAGACGAACAAAATAATCACTACAGCAAATCTTCAAAGCAAATCCGAAGTAGAAACCAGCCGAATAACCAGAGCAACAATTACTCACCAAATTGAACCATCAATTAGACTTCTGTAGGAAGCCTGTTTACCAAACTGAAAAAGTAAGTACTATCTCACCGAGAAAGAATTTGCTGCTGCCGCTCCTTAATTGGGAAAAAGCAAAACATCTTTATGGTGGTGTTTGGCAAGTTGGTTGGGGCTAAAATAGCCACAAAAGACAAAACAGGCTATTTTAGCCACAACAAACAAAACATCACATCCAACCTATAATCATTACACTCTTCTCTCACAAAAAAAGTCAAAAAAGCCAAAAAGCCAAAAAGCCCTTCCCAAACCAAGCTTTTTAGCCCAGGCTAAAATAGCCAAAAAAGCCAAAAAGCCAAAAAGCCAACCCACTTCCCAAACGGAGGCTATATATGGTTGAAATTTAAGTTTTTGTCAAAATTCTTACCAAATAAATTATTAAATATTTATTTGGCTTCAAAAGTTAAATATAATATATTAAAAATATATTATAATTAATACTAAACGAAACTAAGGCCAAGTTTGGCATCCTCTAAAAAATTTTAAAAGTCAAAAAGTTATTATCTTATTTAAGTTACATTATCTTATTTAAGTCACATCACCTCTCTAACACATCACTTCAAACCCAACCCAAATCCAACCCATATTTCATAAAAAGTCAAAAAGTACACTTATTTAGCCTTTCTAAACTTGACTTAAATATTTTAATAATACCCAACATGACAGAGAGAGACTTGAGACAGAGATAGAGGAAAATGAGACAGAAGATCCAATTCCACTTTTTGAAAACTAAAGCACATTTGTCCTTAAAACTCACAAATGACAAATAAACAATCTTTGGCCATGCCACTCATTTAACATTCTAACAATCTTTAATTCATTCAAAACCTCAAACAACTCAATAAAATGTGGAACAAGTTTCATTAGACTTCCAACACAAAAAAAAAGAAGAAAAAAAATGCAATTCAGAAACTTTACTGCATATACTCAACTCAACTAGCCAGCCATTTCATAAATACCCATATATTTGTACACTTAAATCATTTCCTCTCTAGGCTACTACTACTACTACAACTACTAAAACAGAGCAACCCAAAAAACAAAAACAAAACAACAGAACAAGCCAAGTCCTCAAACAACTCAATTAGCTCTCTCAACATGGCGTATAAATACTGATTCCAAGTCTGGAGGAGTAAAGAACTCCCTCCTACTATCACCATTGTAATGACAGGTTGATACAGGCCTGCTCTTCCTCGGTGCCGCTGGGCACGCCAATCTCTCCGGTATCCTCGATTCTTTTGCCGTTGGGGTTGTCGATTCATCACTATCATCGTCGTCACACTCTCTCATCTTCTGCTTCGTTTTTATTGATTTCAATGGACCACGAATTGAAATCCCGGCAATTGCCCATTTCTTGCCCTGTGATTCTTTGCCTCCTCCGTCCAATTGATGCTTCTTTGAAGAACCCATTACGCCAATCAAATTCAAGTTCAACCCAGTTGAAGACAGCAACGAAAGAAAGGGGTTAACTAAGAACAAGGTTTGTGTTTCAGAGAACAGAGTAAAACAGAGGAGATGGAACAAGGATATAAAAACTAGATGGGGAAAATCGAAAATGGGTTTTTCCAGAGAGAGAACTACGAATAAGAGAAAAGGGTCTTTGCAATTTACTCTGATTCTAGAGTTTAGGAAAGAGATTGACGAAAAACTGTGAATGAAGAAGAAACAGAGTGGTGGCGTCAAAATAGAGAGAGAGAGAGAGAGAGAGAGAGAGAGAGTTTATAGTTAGAGGAAGAAGGGAAGTGAGACCTAATTGAAGAGTTTCTTCAACTGACGAGAGAGATTAGAGAGAGAGAGAGAGAGAGAGCTGCCCGTGAAATACCGGGCAGCTGAAACAGAGTTGAAACAGTGAAATTTTGGCGCCAAGTTTTGGGGTTTGGTAAGCAACGGCTCTCTTTCCCGCCATCGTATCTTAATTGTCCATTTTGCCCTTGAGACCATGGACCTTAACGGGTCCAGTAGCCGGGCTCAACCCGATTCATCCTACATTTTTGAAACACACACGCAACTCATGGGCTTAGAAATACGGGCTTATGGTTTTGGGCCTGGCCTGGCTCATATGGGTTTAATTTAGGCTATAAGTCATATTTTTTTATTAAATTCAAAATTTATTATTATTTTTAAATGGGGACTTATAACACAAAATTTTACATATTGAATCATGAAAAATGAAAATGAACTTTACAAAATATAAAATTGTATGTGTCTTTAATATTGTGGAAATGTAGTTTCTAATTTCATAATTGGAGTGCTACTTAATAGCTTTTTAGTGTTGCAATTTGTCCCTACCAAATTTCATTTAACCTTCACCTCTAAATTTTAATTTTTCCTTTCTTTGGACCCTCGCCTTATTCTCAATTATATTCTCATTCTTTAAACACTAACCTTACCCTCACTCATTTACATTTTCTCTACAATTACTCCTTTACTCTACTCCTAGTGCCTTCCATCATCGTGATACATTCTTTGTTGCTCCATCCTCACCGTCGCGGCTACGCACCACAACAACCCCCAGCCCCTTTTTCATTTTTTTTTGTTCTTCATCTTCTTTATAGATCATTTCTCTATCTCAATTAATTGTGAGAGTTGGGATGCGAGAGTAATGAGGGAAGGGTTGAGAGGGATAATAGTAGAAAAGTAAATAAGGGCAAAGAGGGTTGATAGAGTTTGAGAATGTCAAATGGATGGTGCTAGCTGTGGGGGCAGAGTAAGGGTAGAAAGAGTTAAGGTTTTTAAGGGATTAGGGATAAAGATGATTAAAATTTTATATTAAGATAAAATTGTAATAAAAAAGTAAAAGAGACGGAATTCAAAGAAAAAAATAAAAGTAGCATCCATATGAGTCTAATATAGGCCTTTGGGATGGGCTTATTATGGACCAAATTTTTGAAACAATTGATATTTCTAAATAAAATTCGAAGTGAAATCCTAAGTGCACCGTATTGCTGGTTGTAAATAGTTGGTGACTAATGGTGTGTTTGGTTTAACTGATAAGAGCAGGCTTGGTTAGACATAAAAAGGTGGTCCAATGGGCGGCTCTCTTTTAAATTCGTCCAATTACATTAAAAAAAAGAAAAAGAAATGGATAAATTACAAATATACTCCTAAGTTTACTTAAATTTTAAATTATCTTCGTGGTTTTAGAAACTATATTATTCTCCTGAAGGTTTTTAATTTCATAACAAATAGATTCTTTTATTAATAAATTATCAGGTTAATTAACAATTTTTAATAATGTTAAAATTTTATTTCAATTAATAATTCAGATAATTTTATTATTGTATAAGTTGACAGTTAGAAATTTCACTTTTTCAATTAATTTTGTTAGATAAAAAATTCTGATAGAAAGATATTTGTAATTTTTCAAACCATATGAGACAATTCGTATTTGAAACAAATCTCAAGAGGCGTATTTATAATTTACCCAAAAAAATTTAAGTCATGAGAGGCAATTATGTGCTCTTTTGAACATTTTTTTTTCTTCTACAAAGTCGTGAGTCCTATATCCTCTTAATTACAATACATTCAAGCTATGTTTGGTTTTGACTTTTTGGTTAAAAAATACAAAAGATAAAATTAGTTACATAAGTCAATAAGACAAAATATCACGTCCAAACTATAATCATTACATTTTTTTTCTCATAATAGTCAAAAATAAAAACCAAACGGGGCTAAAAAAGTGAGGCTAAAATAGCCAAAAAGTTAAAAAGTTAGACTATTTTAGCTCTTTCCAAACAAAGACCTAGAATATTACATGGTCATATTTTAAGACGGCTAAATAAGGATTATTTTAAAAAGTTGATTAAAAGTGAACTTTTAAGGTTATTTTGATTTTTTTTTAAAAATATATAAAAAATATAAAGGTGATATGATTTAAAAAAATTAAAAAATATTTAACCAGCTTACTAAAATAGGCCTAAATTTTATCAATTACAAATATATAATTGGAAGAAAATCCATTATCACGAGCATATTAGTATAGTTTGCCTGAGTTGTTTATAAATTTGTATTTATTTATTTTGAGAGTTGATGTTAAGTTGTTTGGTACAATATTTTTTTATTTATTTGTTAAGTTGTTTGATAAATTAAAAATAATTTAAATAAATTTAAAAAATAATTATCTAAAAATGTTTATGTCTAATAATTATCTAAAAATGTTTATGTCATCGTATGGTTGTCTACTTTAACTATTGTTTGGTGGGGCCAGCCCAGCTCACTTTAGATTTATTAGATGCGCGGACCTGAATTAAAAGTGACCTTTTTAGTTTTTTTCGATTTTTTTTAAAAAATATATAAAAAATATAAAGGTGATATGATTTAAAAAAATTAAAAAGTATTTAACCAGCTTACTAAAATAAGCCTAAATTTTATCAATTACAAATATATAATTGGAAGGAAATCCATTATCACGAGCATATTAGTATAGTTTGCCTGAGTTGTTTATAAATTTGTATTTATTTATTTTGAGAGTTGATGTTAAGTTGTTTGGTACAATATTTATTTATTTATTTGTTAAGTTGTTTGATAAATTAAAAATAATTTAAATAAATTTAAAAAATAATTATCTAAAAATGTTTATGTCTAATAATTATCTAAAAATGTTTATGTCATCGTATGGTTGTCTACTTTAACTATTGTTTGGTGGGGCCAGCCCAGCTCACTTTAGATTTATTAGATGCGCGGACCTGCCAATCAGCCAACGAGCCTAGTGCCTATCCAAATCATCCCAAACAAACTATGGATGCACCCACATACCAACCATTCCATTCAAACCAAAATTTGTAAGGAAAAAAAAAATGGTGTTTAATTATTCGCATCATATTGTTAATTTCTTATATTTTACTTATGGGAAACTAAAATATTAATTTTTTTTCTTTTTTTTTTTGAGAAGTTGATACTGGCTTGTAAATATTATTTTTAAATTTTTATTTAAAGAACTTTTACATTGCGCAATAGAATAATGGTTACTTTTTTTTTTTATGGTGCATGACATTTTTTTTTTTTTAAAAGTATATTGAAGACTATAGGTTAAAGAACGTCTGACACAAGATTTGAACTTTTAATATTGGAATGAACGGTTAAAACTAAGAACCTTCCATCATTCCAGACAAACTATCTACGCACGCACATACCAACCATTCCATTCAAACAAAAATTTGTAAGGAAAAAAAAAAGGTATTTAATTATTCACTTCTTATTGTTAATTGTTTATATTTTACTTATGGGTAACTAAATATGTGAGTGAATTTTCGATCACACTGCCAACTTAGTATTTAGGTGGAGAGTACTGGCAGAATAGATGACACCTGGCTGAACTGCAACAGAAAGAGAAGATTCCGGCGGTGGTTCATCCACTCGGGAGTACTCCGACAATCAAGTCAATATATCTCTCAAAGATAATCAATTGCTAAACTCACTGTTATGAGTATAAATTGCGTACTTTAGACCCATCGAGGGTGCCTTTCTTTTATATTTAACTCAATCCTTGTCCCAACAGAAGCCTAACTTCAATAGACTTTTGCTTAGTGTTTATCCTGAACTCTCCAAGAGATAAAGATAAACTCCCTAAGAGTATTATCCTTATCCATGCTGAAGTCCTTCCTCATTCTAGAACTCTTTGTGCCTTATCCGCTTATCTCGGATTCCGATATCTTCGAAGATAACCTCAGCCTTGCCGAAATAACCTCGACATCATGACCAGGACACGTCGCACCTCGGCTGACATGTCGGCGTCACCTTGGCCACGTGCTGGTACTCAGAAAATATATCCCCACAACTGCCCCCTAAGTTCTATTACCTCGTGGAACCTATATCGATACTTCCTGCTAGTACATCGGCTTAGAGATTCCTAGCCGACATGTATCTTTAAAGATAAAAAATTTCAAGAGCTCCCTCATGCGTATGAGTTCTCAAGCATAATACATCAACCGTCTTAACCACGCGTTTTTCCCTTATTGGATCGTACTTCATATGCGCTTGTAAGTCATCTCGCGCCTGCGTGCATTGTCTGACGCATACATCATTTTAGGCGCATTAATTGCTTTCTTTTTGGCGCCGTTTCAAGTTTTAACGAAACTTTTTTTCCTTCCGTCTCTTCACTTTACATCGTTTCTGAAGCTCTCTCTCTCTCTAGCTTTTTCCTTCCAAATCTTCCATTGTTCAAGCTTCTAAAGCCCTGCAACTTGCTCCGTCCACCTTCTCCGGCGAGGTTCTTATTAATCTTTTCCGCAGCTGCCGTTCGTCTGACCTCGGCAAACTCAACACCGGCTTCTTTTCTTTGGTGAGTTTACTGTTTCTCCTAATTTCAGTTCTCGATGCTTTCCATTACTCGTTGCCATTACTGCTTTGTTCAAACATTCGATTTGCGAATCATATATCTGAACGTGTTTATTTTACGACTTTACTCTTGCCCATGTCTTGAATACACGTACTGCTCACAATTTTCCTGCATTCTTGCCATTGTTCTTGGCTTTATACCCTTTGTACTTACTTTGGCACAATGTTCTTGATAGTTCATCGTTGTTCTTGACTCTGAAGCGCATTCTTGCTTTTTTATTTTCCAGATTCATGCCTTCAATCTGCGTTTCCGTAGATTTAGGTTTAGGATTTATTTGTAGAACCCACAATTTATTACCTCACAAATTTTTAGGTTTTTGCCGAGATCCCAATAACCCATTTAAAACACCTTCTTTCTGAAACCCAGTTCCCCCTAGTTAAGCCGATATCATGGGTATGTGGAAACATAGGGTAGACACCCTGAC